TTGCACAGTCCTCACAACTCTGCATCTAGTTTGATAAGATTTCTTCTTTCATTGTTCTCAGACTACCATAGATATTAGGAGGTAACTCAATTCCTTCTTCCTTCTCTTCCTCATGTACCCACTTAGAAGGCTATCACTGGAGGTCCCAGCTGTTACTTTCAGGTTCTTTATCATATTAAACTGCCTCTTTTTCTACTGGTGCTTTGAGAAGGTCAAAAGCAGTGATGGTCAAAAGCAGTGGAGGTCCAAAGTTTTGTCTTTCCCCTCCCAGGAAAAGGACAAGGACACAATCAGTGGTCAGCCCTGCACAAGGGCAAGCGAGTCTTTACAGTAATTGTCATGTCCTCAAAAAAAATGATCATGAGTCAGAACTAGAGCTGGCATAATAGAGCAACGTCTGCCTTCCATGAAGTAGAGGTTATTTCTGTCAATGCTTAACAGCAAGGTTTAGTTTCCATGGAAAGTGAGTTAAAAAAAGAGATGGATAGACAAGAAAAGCAACAATGAGAATGTTCCCTGTTTCAGCTCTAAGATCTGTACATCAATTAAAAACTGTTTATAATCTCTCACTGGTCCTTATTCTTCAATGCATTTCAAGGTGTATAAGCTTATATCCATAGGCAGTAACTCAGTACTCCAACATCCAAATGCAGACCAGATGCATTTGCATATCCTGGGATGAAAAGCTTTAAGAAGACAAAGCGAGTGATTCTGATTTGCCTGTTTTGTCCTCCACTGTGATGCCTACTTGTGACTTTGTTTGCTAATGTGATCCTTTTGAGACCCCTTGGACCTAACCTGCAAAAGACTTTGTACTTTTAATACTCAGTACCTTAATATTTTAAGCGGTGTTGCTGGTTCTTAAAAATGAGATTAACACAAGTGCAGAAGTCAGGAAAGAACCACATTTTCTTGAAGCACTTATAAAACCACTGTGAAGAAGGTCTAAACCAAGCACTCTTAAGTCTCACTGTATGCCAAAGCAATCAGTAGAGTCCACAATGAGGATTTAGTCCATTTCATCATACCACAAAGGATCTGGAACTCTGATTTCACAGGTGATAACCATAAAGTGTGTTCTTCACCTAAAAGCAAAGAAAGGTATTTGGCATGTCAAGAAGTGATCGGTGCTCCGTGTGACAGCAGGGTGAAAGAGGACATTGCCATACTTGTCTCATTTTGGTGTGCACTCTTACTGATTTTAAAGGAAAATGAAAGTACTTCCAAGCAAAGTTTTGTTTTACTGCAAAAGCTTTCTGCACCACATATGCCTCAGAAGCTACAGTGCGGTTTCAAAGCTTTGTAACACTACAAAAATGGAAAATCTGAAGTAAGAAATTTGAACTAGCATATATATTCCACTGGAATAAAGAGGTAGTATAGTATAGCTTACTGTTCACTTCCGGCATTTTGGCTTTTCAAAGCAATAGTGTAATTGCATCTTTAAAACATGTGCAAATTATCTGTAAAATTTAAGAGCAGAGGATGGAGAACATTGACAAAAGAACACAGAAAAGAACTTCAAGGTGTTGCTCCAACTTCTCTGATTTTCTCAGGGTAATATATCATAAACAAAGCCCTCCTACCAAACCCCAAAGCATGTTTGAAATAATCAAGTTTACTCTGGTTCTTTCACATGTGACTGTCTAAACATAGGATCAAATTTCTTTGATTCCAGTCTTCTTACCAGCAAGGGACTTGAACCCAAAATCAACCAAATCCATTTGACTGAACATAATGCTCTGGCTGCCTGCATTAGCATGTCCAGCATTATTATTTGAATAGGAGGTACCAGACACAAAGAGCTTTAATTTTTAATGTGTTCTTTTTTTCTTTTTTTTTTTTTTCTTCCACCCTCCCAGGTCTTCTGTCTTAGTTTCAGCTGGGGTAAAGCTAATTTCCTTTCAGTAGCTGTTACAGCACTGTGTTTTGGATTTGGAATCAGAATAGTGTTGGTAACACACTGATGTTTTGTTTTTTTTGCCAAGTTGTGTTTATCCTAAGTAAAGGACTGTGCTCTGTCAGTGGAAGGGAGCATAGCTGGGAGCAGTAACCCAAACTGACCAAAGGGATATTCCGCACCATAGACTATCATGCCCAGTATATAAAGTGTGAGGAGTTACCTGGAAGCGCAACTGATCTGGGATTCGAAAGGAGGGCCTGTCATCAGTCAGGAGGTAGTGGGCAATCACATTTTGCATCACTTGTTTGTTTCCTTTTCATTACTATTATTATTTACCATTATTATTGTAATTTATTTTAAATTAATAAACTGTTCTTATTGCAACATACAAGTTTTACCTCGATTCTCATCCCCATTTCATGGAGTGAGGGTAAGAGAGTGAAGGGTTGAGCGAGTGGCTGCTTGATGCTTAATTTCCATTTGGGCTTAGATCACAACAGCTTCTAATAGTTAATACCAGCAGGTGAAAACATTCTTCTCTGTATTTGTGCTTTTAACAACACACTTCTGCCAAAAGCTAGGAAAACATAGTTTGCTTGCAGAGTATTTTCTCTCCTATCATTATGAGAAAATCATCAGCATTGAATGACATGCTTAGACACATAGTGTGATTTTTTGGAGTTTTCCTGTGCAGGGCCAGGAGTTGGATTCTATGATCCTTGTGGTCTCTTCCAATTCAGGATATTCTGATTCCATGAAAACACATTTTGTTTGCTTTGGCTTGGGTATTTTTTTTTGTCAGCAGTGTTACAAATAACAATGTGTTTGTGGTAGTTGTAGTTTCCTCTGTTTTCAGAGTAAACCCTAGTGTTTCTGGAAGACAGTCTATTTGATTAGGTGGATCTAGCCTGCTCTTGAGAAAAGTTGGGAGGGCATGGAGGAGGAGATTTTTGTGTCTTCAACACCCTGCGAGAAGCAGATCTCAGAGATCACTGGTGCATGAGGCTGCTTGACAAGAGCACAATGCCAGGCTCTGCCTCAAGCCATGCCTTCACTTGGGCCACACTGCTAGGATATATTGTTCTCATTTAGATATCCAGTGATTCTGCAGGTGGAAAACAAAATAGAAACCTTTCTTTTCTTGGGTTTGATTCCAGGTCTCTGCTCATGACTCAAAGAAGACATGTTTTCTTTAGTTTTTTGGTAGCCTTCTCAGAGTTTTTTCCCTGCTACAGGTGAAAGAACTAGACAAGCCTGGCTCTCATTGATGTTTAACTGCTTGTAACTGCCCTGCAGAGATGCCTTTTCAAATAGATAGAGGAAGGAATGTGAGCTTGGTTGCATCTTTGATGAAGGTAACTGAGTGCATCTGCTATTCCTAAATGTCATTTGCCAGCATTGGCCTATTCTGTAATCTCTTGCCATTCCAGCAGTCTCTGAAGCATCTCAATCACTGCGGACCCCTTCTCAACAAGTTCAGTATTTTCTGTATGTTAAAGGTACTTGTCTAAGTATTTGGAGGGTATCAGTATTAGGTTTCTTTTGGTGAAGTGATTAAGTGTATCAGAGAAAGGCACAGGAAATGTTGAAGCAGGTTAGCAAGTGAAAGCCCACAGATGTAGAGGTTACAGCAGATTCACAGTATGTGTGTATTAAAAATAGACACAGAGTCTAATGGACAAAGCAAGACTATGTAGAGTTATTGCTAGGACAAAAATAAACAGTAAAATCAGCAACAACAAAACCTAAAAAGACCTGGAGACCATGTGGATCATGACCAACCAGATTTTCAGACAAGCTTCTGATTTCTCTGTCTTTAAATCATTTGCAAACTGCTATCTATAAGCATTTCTGTGTAGGTGCTGAATGTTAATGTGTTTTTATTTAATCCAAGTCCAAAATAAAAATCAACCAAACAGCAACCAAATAACTAGTCTTCATATCAGGCCTTCAAGACAGGAAAACTTAGGCTTGCAGGAATTACTGTCAAAAGCAGAGTCTATGGCTCAGAACTCCCCTTGTCAGGGGGCAAGACCCTACAGTGGTGAGACATCCTGAGATGAAACCTAAGGAAGAGTAGCTGATCATGTCTATATCTTACCAGCTAGTCAAAATACAAAGGCAGCATTTTGCCCAAGAACAGTGCCTTGCTCATGCCAGCATGGTCTGACTGTGTACAACTGCACAAAATTTGCTGCACAAAATTTGAACCATGACTACGAGACATTTGACATACTCTGCACTGCTTAACCTAGGGGAATATAGCAGAAACATACCAAAGATGTCCATGCCAGATGCAAGCTGAGCTGTGGGGGATTTAGCTAAACTCTTAGGCAATGCTGGGCCTCTTATACAACTAACAATCTAGACAGAAGTGGGAAATAATATAGAGATGTAAGCATACATGCACATACAGAGTGAATGATATTGCATTTGTGGTGCATTCTGCTTATTCAAGACAAGACCTAATAAATGAGGAATTGAAAGAAGCAAGGGAAAGATTAAAGCAGCAGTGATAGGAAAGTCATTCTTGCAAAAGTTGACACACTTCCACCTGGGCATTTGGCAATGATTCATGATTTAATTTTATTCAAACTTGTCAAACAAGTTTATTGAAAAACCTAACAGTACCTCATATCTTAGAATTAGACATTTACTGTCAGAGCAGGCTTTTAGGAAAGGGCTGAAATCACACAGAAGACCAGAATTCCTCTTTCCAGCAGAACAAGGACACCACTGAAAAACTGTGCATTAAAACAAACAAACAAACAAACAAACAAACAAACAAAACAAACAAAAAACCCACAACCCACAAAAAAACTCACAAAAAAACAAAGTGAAGAAAACATGAAAGCTTCTTTTGGTCAACAAGTCAAATGGACAGTGGAGACCAATGTCACAACTGAGGTAGGTAGATACATGTACCAGCAGAGGAACTGGCAGAGCTTTTGCTTTATGAGTGGTATTACAGGTAATTCCTGAAAATTCAGACTTGAGAAGCCAGGTGAGATTTACAAAGAGAAGGTTTATTTGCTCAGAAATACAAGGCTGGAAGATGATCTCAGGAAGTTCTTTACATTTCTGATGTGTTTTTTAGATTCCCCACAGAATGCTGTAGTGGGCATGTGTGAAGATGAAGATCTGAAAGTTTCAGAAATATGAACAGAAGAAGAGAGCTGAATGTTGATGATGGTATGTAGGAGTGAGCATCAGCACTTTCACACTGCTTAGATGTTAAAGTGAGTGGAAGCAGCATTGGGAATCTATCAAGAGATAAAGAGTAGGAACAGAGAAAAATTAAGAGGGAAGTGAAAGGACTCAGTTTTGACAGTACTAGGTCATATCTTTAAAGCATGTTTAATGGTGAAACTTCACTGATGTCAGCAGAACTTATCTCATTTCCCAAAAACTGAGGATTTTAAACTGCCTGAAAGCAGTATGGGTTAGAAAGTGGAGGCTGTAAGGACAGACAAAAGCTGGAACAGCTTGCTGAGGTGAGCAAGCTATTCCAGAGGTATTCAAAAGTATTAAAGAACAGGTTAGACAAACTAGTGTCAAGAGTGACAGACTTGGGTGTGCCTCAAGCCTACCATGAGGCAGGAATGTGATGAGAGGCTTCTGCTCATGTAGTTTGAAGAAATGGGATTCAAATGGGGATGAAGACATGACAGTTTGGTTTAGGATGGCTTGATTCCTGAACTTTTCAAGCACAGCAAGCATACTTTATGCCAAGGCAGACTAAAGCCAGTGACCAGAATAAAAAGTTGTCCTCTGCTATGGATCTTGACCTGTGGAAATCCTTGCCTGTATTTTGCCCCATAGTGACTTGAGAGCTGGCAACAAAGTCCTTTGCTTCATTAGGCACTAAAATCTTCCTTAAAACAAAGAAAATCTAGACTGCCAACAACTCAAAATAATTTGTTGTGATTGGATAGTCACATCTGAGAATGACTGGAAAAGCAAATGTGATGGAGACGAGAACAATAGCAACATTCAGATGAAAGTCCAACAGTTTTTGATACAGATTTTGTGAAGGCCTTCTTTGAAAGCCACTTACACACACACACATAAGCACATGTCATTGGGAGGTAACACTAACACTCATGTGGAACAAATTTTTTATTAAATGCCAGGAATTTCTATTGTTTCAGAGGAATACAGTTCTTTTTATAAACCAGGAGAATGCAAGCTGTTTTTCTCTGAGAGAGTTTGTTTTGCCTGAATGATTGTTCCAATTGAATTGTGAGAACTAGAGGAGGAACAGAAAAGCTTAATTTTTTTCATAGACATGCACAAGTTTAGACACATGCAATTCAGAATAGGTAGTTGGATTTCAAGCATGACTGTGTCCCAATTCTGACAATCAAGTATTTGTACCAAGTTGTCGAAGTGTAAAATACACACCCTGCAGAAAAAAATCTGTTACAAAGAACAGTTAAGGGAGATGTTGAGGAAGTAATGGAGAGGAAAAGGAAGATAGCCAGGTTTTTGAATTGATTTATTCTGTTTTAATGCATATATTTCCAGGGATCCTGACCATACAGGCCTGCATTTACAGTGTATTTTCTTCATCAAAAAAAACCTTGAAGTCACAAAGGCTTGAGTCACTCAGGTCAGGTCAGGATCAAACAGGGTGTTTCAAATTCCAGGTTTTGCTCTCTCCCATTTCATATAGAATAGGTAGTTTTGTGCTTCAGGTGTGACTTTCTTCATGTACATGGAAATCTTTGGTTGAGTGGTTTTTCTGTAATATCTTCTTCCAAGATATCACTAAAATAAATTAGTGCAAGCTGGCACATATCAGAGATAAAAGAAGACATAAAAATTATAGTAGATAATTGTAGACAAAAGGTTTAAATCAGACTGAACTTTATAATTGCTTACAGTTCAAAGCTTCATTACCAACATTAGTTTTATCAGATAAATTTCACATCTTTATTCTGACAAGGCCTAATCTGGGAATAAGTGAAAAGGATAACTACACTATAAATAGATGGGAATTCACCATATCAACTGTATATAGTCTCCTGCTTGACCGAGTGAACAGTCAAGCCCTTTAGATAGCTTGATGGAAAAATAAGGGAAGTGTTTAGGGAAGAACAGTGTAGCCCTGGGCTCCATATGGCTCTTGGCTATCAAGATGTTCCTAGAGATTTGACTGGGCAGAGATCTTCCCTTTGAGTAGTGACTCCAAGAGACGGAACACAGAGACTAGACCTTGCTACTCCTCCTCTCTGTTTTTCTCTGTGCTCAGATTGTAGATTCTGGGCCTTGGTTCTTCTGCCTGGTTATGCTGCCAGCCCACACCTCTGCCCAGCTTTGGTGTGGAGACCAGCTGGTAAGGCTCACTTCAATGAGACACTCATCCCATTTAGACCTCCTCATTAGCACCAGTAAAGAGAATCCATAGTTCTTCCACACGCCTTTAGCCCCCTGAGGAGCCTCAGGACATTCTTCTGCAGGGCTTTTTCTCTGCTCTGAGAAGCACACAATGTCCACTTATTTCAGACAATTTCCTCCTCAGCCAGGGCTACCTATGTGGTTTTAAACCAAGAGGACAAAAAGCCTTCAAAAAGACTGGCTCAAGTGGGTAAGATGACCATTTCTTTCAGCTGAGAGCCCTGACTTCTCCAAACAGCACTGGAAGAGAGAGAGCAGCACAGCCTAGGTGGCAAGGGTGGCACCTGAGGTTCTCCTGCTGCTCAGATGCACTTCCACATCTGTTCATCCTTCATTGCTATAGTGCAGTGGGTTTATGTGAGCAAAAAGGAAAAAGGTTTGTGTTGATTCCTTGGTTCCCTTTTCCTGGGCTGTGCAACCTGACAGTGACATTTTCCTTCCCTGCTTGTGATCTCCACCAATACTGGCCCCAAATCCCCACCACGCACTTCTTGCAACCAGCACAAATTAACCAGTGTGGAAGGAATGCTAAATATCAGTAGGGCTTCTAGGCTAGCAGCTCATGCACAAAGAAAGAAAAAAAAAAATGAAAAAAAAAAGAAAACAAAAGAGAGATTTTTTGCTTTCAGTAGAGTATTACTCAGCTGTAAGTTATGTACTTCTGAGTTTTTTTGCTCCCCTGCCAAGACTTTCTGAGAGGGAAAATCAGGACAGATACATGAAAATAAGAAAAAAGGTTATTATATAGAAAAAGAAAAAAAATTCATATCCTAGATTGACTGTAACTCCCCTCACCGCAGTTTACCTGTTTGACTTTTTCCCAGTGACAATAACAGAAGCTATGTGCTAAATTGTATTCAAAAAATTGGTAATTCCAGAGTATCTCCATTTTCTCCCTTGTTTTGTCCTGTTGTGTAACTGTGTGTCAGGCCGGGAGCCAGACCTGACATCACATTGCAGAGGACTGCCCTAGGTCTTGCATAATCTTAATAGGACAGCCACTTGGAAAATGTTTATGTGCCATTATGTGCCATTGCTCCTCTAGCTACTCTACTGCATTAGGGGAGCAGAGTCATTATAGACTAGGCAGAAGGATTAATTGCATTTGCGTCATTGATGTCCACTGTAAGATATTTTGGTAGGCCCCAATACTTCAGGTCCTGTTCCCATTCTCCTAGAAGCAAACCTCTAGCTGTGTCAAGTGATTGCAACTGACTGCAGCACTGTTGCATTTTAATCCTGAGGTTTTATTACCTCAAAATGGTTGATGATTACTCCATGGGTTATCATCAGAAAGATGCCCAGCACCATATGGTTTAAGTGTCTGCATAACAGCACCCCTGTTTGCAGTGGTGTGCTACTTACTGGGCCCAAAACCTCTAACATACTTGTTCTTTGCTGATTGTAATCTATGTTACAGTATGTGGTAGCAGACTGCAAAAATGTTAGTGTTAGGGAACTAGGAATGGAGATAATTGCATGCATGCTGCTCTGCTTGAAAAAATGTATCCTTTTCCTCCCTCTTCCTACTGTGACATTTCTTGCTGGACACTGATGCACTCTCCTGCTCTGTAATGGGCAGAGCTAGGTAGACACGGACTGTAGCACATGCTGCTTTCTGCGTCTTACTGCTAGGATGAGTCCTGAAGCAAATTAATGCTATTAGATCCTGATGCAAAATAAGAGCTGCCAGCCTGTATCTTCCATTACAGATGCACAGAATCAACCAGGTTGGAAAAGACCTCAGAAATCATCAAGTCCAACCTCTGACCTAACACCACTTTGTCTACTAGGCCATGGCACTAAGTGCCACTTCCAGTCTCTTCTTAAACACCTCTAGGAATGGTGAATCGACCACCTCCCTGGGCAGACCATTCCAATGCCTTACTACCCTCTCTATAAAGAATTTCTTCCTAATATCTAACCTAAACCCTGCCTGGCACAGCTTAAGACTGTGCCCTTTTGTCCTACTGCTGGTTGCCTGCAAGAAGAAACCAACTATCACCTTGCTCCAGCGTCCCCTCAGATATCTGTAGAGAGCAATAAGGTCTTCCCTGAGCCTCCTCTTCTCCAGGCTAAACAACCCCAGCTCCTGCAGCCTCTCCTCACAGGATTTATCCCTTCACCAGCCTCATTTCCCTTCATTGGACACTCTCCAGCACCTCAATGTCCTTCCTAAATTGAGGGGCCCAGGGCTGGACACAGTACTCAAGGTGTATCCTAGCTAGTGCTGAGTACAAGGCAGAATCACTTCCCTGCTCCTGCTGACCACACTGTTCCTGATGCAGGCCAGGATGCCATTGGCCTTCTTGGCCACCTGGGCACACTGCTGGCTCATGTTCAGCCTCCTGTCGATCAGCACCCCCAGGTCCCTTTCTGCCTGGCTGCTCTCCAGCCACTGTGCCCAGCCTGTAGCGCTGCAGGGGGTTGTTGTGGCCAAAGTGCAGGACCCGGCACTTGGCCTTGTTAAGCATCATACCATGGGATTCAGCTCATTTATCCAGCCTGTCCACGTCCCTCTGCAGAGCTCTCCTACCTTCCAGCAGATTGACACCCCCTTCCAACTTGGTGTCATCTGCAAATTTGCTAATGGTGGACTCAATCCCTTTATTCAGATCATCAATAAAAATATTAAATAGAACTGAGCTCAGCACTGATCCCTGGGGGATGCCACCAGTGACCGGCCGCCAGCTGGATGCAGCCCCGTTCACCAGCACTCTCTGGGCCCGGCCCTCCAGCCAGTTCCTGACCCAGCACAGAGTGCCCCTGTCCAAGCCATGGGCTGCCAGCTTTTCCTGGAGAATGCTGTGGGACACAGTGCCAAAGGCTTTGCTGAAGTGCAGACAGACACATCCACAGCCTTCCCCTCATCCGCCAGGCAGGTCACCTGATCATAAAAGGAGATCAGGTTGGTTAGACAGGACCTGCCCTTCCTAAACCCATGCTGGCTGGCTCTGATCCCTTGTAGATCCCACGAATGTTGTGTGATTGCACTAAGCATCCAATTGTCAGCTTCCAATTGTTTGGGACTCCTTGGTGAGACACGACTGGTGATAAATGACAGAGTGGCTTGATGAGCTCTTCTGCCAGTTCCCTCATCATCCTAGGATGGATTCCATCAGATCCCATAGACTTGTGAGGATCCAAGTGACTCAGCAGGTTGCAAACTGTTTCCTCCTGGATAACACAGGGACTATTCAGCTCCCTGTCACTGTCTACCTGCCCAGGAAGCCAGTCGTCCTCAGGACAACCTGTCTTCTTGTTGAAAACAGAGGCAAAGAAGGTGTCCTCATCTTTGGTAACTACGTTCCCCTCCATGTTTTCCTTGCCCCTCCTTTTGTTATTGATGTATTTATAAAAACACTTGCTGTTGTCCTTAACAGAAGTGGCCAGATTAAGTTCAGTTTGTGCTTTTCTGTGGAAAGAACATGATGGATACATGAGCAATTTATATTGTGTTCTGTAGTTTTATAAACTTAGCTTTAATATAGCTTTATAGATACTATAAATTGTAAGTGCCAAGATGGCTGTGAGTTTCCTAGCTAGAACAAAAGGAAATCTGTGCCAAGAAGAAGGTAGGGTTTGATAAAGTAAGTAATTACCTTATTCTGCCTAGATACCTGTTATAAACCAATTATATGTGTATTTGTAATGTATTTTTACATCTGGACAGTAGCTTGTAACCAGTTGTATGCATCTGGTCACGAGACCTTGTATAGAGAAACTATAAAAGGTCACAACTCTTTTAATAAAGCGGACATATTGGAGATCTTATAGATCGTGTGCATATGTTACCCGAGCCCCTCCGTCAACACTTTTCCCTCTCTAATTTTCTTTCTACATGACCTAATTACATTCCTAAACACTCCATGAGTTGTCTGCCTTTTTTAACAAAGGTGATAGACTCTCTTTTTTCCCTAATTTCCTGCAAAATCTCCCTGTTCAGCTAGGCCAGTCATCTTACCCATTGTCTCACCTTTCAGCACACTGGGACAGCCTGCTCCTGTGCCTTCAAGATTTCTTTCTTGAAGCACATCCATTCTTCCTGGATACCTTTGTTTTCGAGGGCTGTTTCCCAAGGTACTCTCTGAACCAGCCTTCTGAATAGGCTGAAGTCTACCACATCTCCCACCAGCCCTTCTCTGTTTGTAAACATCAGGTCTAATGTGGCCCCTGCCCTGGTAGGTTCACTTATCATCTGCAACAAGAAATTACCCTCCATACACTCTAGGAATCTCCTAGACTGCCTCTTCTCTGCTGTGTTGTGTTCCCAGCAGATATCTGGCAGGTTAAAGTCACCCACAAGAACAAGGGTTGGTGATTTTGAAACCTCCACCAGCTGCTTGTATTATAATTCATTACCCTCATCATCCTGATTGGGTGATCTGTAACAAAGTCCCACTAGTATATCAGCCCTATTGGCCTTCCCCCTGATTTTGATCCACAGGCACTCAGCCTTATTGTTATTGACTCCAAGTTCTGGAGGGTGGAGAGACACTCTAACATACAGAGCCACCCCTTCACCTCTCCTGCCTTGCGTGTCCCTTCTGAAGAGCTTGTAGCCATCCATGGCAGCTCTCCAGTCATGTGAGTCATCCCACCACATTTCTGTGATGGCGACCACATCACAGCTTTCCTGCTGCACGATGACTTCCAGCTCCTCCTGTTTGTTGCCCATGCTGTGTGCATTGATGTACATGCACTTCAGCTGGGCTACTGATATCACTCCTAACCCTGACTTTCCTCCCTTAGGCTCTTCTCTGGAGAGGGTTTCAACCCCTTCCTCCTTCAAACTTAGTTTAAAACCCTCCTGATCAGTCCCGCCAACTTATATGCTAGAGTCCTTTTGCCCTTGCTAGATAGATGAAGCCCAACTGACTCTAGCAGGCTAGGTACCATACATTTTATCCCATGATCTAAATAAAAAAAAATTCACTGGTGGCACCAATCCTTTAGCCACCTATTGATAAAATGGGTTTTCCTACTCCTCATTCAGCCTTGCTACTGCAGGAATTGAGGCAAACACCTCCTCTGCTCCTGTCCCATCAAGTAATCAACCCAAAGCCTTAAAGTACTTTTTAATTGCCCTGGTACCTCTTTTATTGATCTCATCACTGCCAACCTGTAGTGGGTAATAATCTGAGGGCTGAATTAGCTTGGGAAGTTTCCTGCTTATATCCCTCACCCAGCCCCAGGAAGGCAGCAGACTTCCCTATGGAATGGGTCTGGTCGACATATAGGACCTTCAGTTCCCCTCAGAAGGGAATCACCAACTACAACTACCCTCCTTTTTTTTCTTAATAGTTGCAGTTGTGATCCATCTAATAGATTGGGTGCAACTGGGAGACTCTCCAGATAGATCTTTTCTTGAGTGTCATCTGCCTGACTCGCAAGATTGAGGGCCTCATTGGAAGGGCCTCATTTGCACTGCCCTTGCTATTGAAAGGAATGATTAAGGACGTGGTAATGGACATGAAACATTCCCCTTTCTTTCAATTCTTGCAATGAAGGAAGTGACGTGCATTTAGCTTCCTGGCCTTTACATGTTTCGTGGTGATAGGACACATACAGCTTCCGGTGAATTAGAGGTAGATAGGGCGTTTTTCAGAAGGAAAAAAAAAAGAGGGGGTGGGGGGGAAGGTAACAGAGAATTTTCCACCAATTGAGATGGGGCTCAAGCCTCTACATCCTTCACTACAATTTATCTCCTTTTACAGGTACAGATGAATTTACTCGGAATAGTATCAAGAGAAAAATTACTACCAGGTTTTTTTCTAAGTGTCCCGTCTTATTTAGCAGAGTGATGGTGGTAATTTTAGGATATTAAACAAGATGTAAAAATTTTCTGTCTCATTCTCTTTCTTTATTGTATCTAAACATTTAGAGATGGCAACTACCAGCATTTATAAAGGGAAGATTTCTTTTGGTAAATTTGTTCCTGCTGACAAGCCCTCAAAAGGAAGACCTCTCCTAAAAACTTTGAGTGAGATACTTCAATTATACTTTTAGGCTGAGAGAGAGGAATTCTGCTTTGCTGCAGAAACCTTTCACATCCTGCAGGCTGTTGCCATTCTGCTTCCAGCAATTTTTGCTTTCTCAGCAGAGTAAGTTGGGGCAAAGAAAAATATAAGGCAATGCATTCCTCCAGCATGTCCCTCCATTTCCTCTTTTCTGGCCATAACATTTCTTCTGTGGCAGGACAAAGAAGATGCTTTTAAAATGGATGAATTACCACACTATAAGTAATCAGTTCACAGAAGAGCAGTTTGCCCCATGGATCCTGATGATTTTATAACCATCTCAGTCACTATAAATGGTCATACCACCAAAAAAGCCAAACAAACATGGAATAGCTTTTGCTTAAAGAGCTCTTCCTTAAACTGGTTACCCACAATGGTGTAGAGGATTTACAGGGCATTAAGTATCCAAACAAAGTACTCCAGGCTCAGTAATTTTCAAATAGCAGCTGATTTTAATTTTTTCTTTGGCATTCATACACACATCCTATTGCAAGCTTGATTCATTTCTTTTTGCACTGGAAAAAATGTTAAAGCTGGAATGCGAAGTCAAGAAAGTGGAAATTCATACATTGTGTGCATATGTGGTTTAGTGATGGATGCCATTTGCACATATCACTTACTGGGGAAGTTAAATCACTTTTGGATACAAATTTTAGCAACTGCTTCCAAAACTCCATTGACTTCCAAACTTTGAAGTTACATTCTCCACAGCCTGCTATTGGAATATTTCTTGGCAGCTCAAAGCACCATTTTCTGAAGCAGAGATTTTTCTTATTTTGCTCTGTGTGCTGCAAAGTGATGGTCTTTACTTGCACTTAGAAACTGGTTCCCACAAACTGGAACTGTCTTCTCTCTGCTAGGAACACAGTGTCTCTTGTGCATTGGAGGTTTTTATTTTGTTTTTAATTTTCATACTTCCTACATCATCAATGATAAAAACTAATGTGGTGTTCTTCTATGTACAAACAGGAGCTCATTCTTTTACAAAGTTATTAGGGAAGCCTTGGAGTTGTGGGCAGGCACACAAGTCTCTGTCCGTCTCAGCACACTACTGTTCCTTTGTGGTGGATGCCTAATACAATAGTGACACAGAATTTACGTGACAAAGCAATTAAAATGTATCTTTGGCTCTGACTTCCAGATGACTGAAGAGCAAGTTTCAATAACTTGAGTCATGATGCACGCACTAGTTTGCAAAAATGCCTCCTGGGCAATGTCACTGGGAGGAACATCCTTTCAGGCTGTTCCCTACACCAGGGTACAAACTGGGCACCATAGGAGCTAGTGGTCTCTCTGCATTGGGAAGCTGTGACTTCCACTAAATCTGCTGGTTCAGATGCGGGTCTGTTACAGTTGCTCTGGCTACCGTTGACCCCTTGGTCCCCTCATGCCATCTGCATGAACAACCATCAGACGGTGAGCAGCCTTAGGCTGATAGGGACAAGCAAGCCCCTGTGCTGGCATTGTCCGAGAGGGTGCTTAGCACCTTGTAGTCATCTTCTCTAGAGCTTGCTGAGCTTGGTGGTCTCCTCAGCACACCAGAAGTGCTTCTCCAGAGATGTGCTTTCCACCAACAGCTCAGTTAGTGAGAGAATAATTTAAAATCTTATCTGCCATTCCTCTGTTACTGCCTCTCTGCTGTGTCCAGACATCCTTGCTCCATGCTTCCATAGCTCTTGCCAAACATTCAGGCTTTTTAGTGCATTTCCCCGTATTCCTACTATAAAAAAAACCAAAAAACCA